CCCCCGACCCTGCTGAACCACTCGGTGGTCTGGCAGGTGACTGAAGGCTGAGGCCAGGTCCTGGGCTGGCAGGGGCACAGGAGATGGCTGCTCTCGGGGAGCATAATTCGAGGAAAGTGAAGCCGGCACAGATTTTTCAGTCAGACACCAGGCTCGGTCTGGGTGAAGGGGCCGGTCAGTCTCCTTCATGCTCCCAGGTCACTTAGGACGTTTCCCCCAAACCTTACCTTCCACTGTAACCCATGATCGATTTTTCATATGTGAATTTATCTTTAACCATATGTTAACTGTTATCTTTCCAGCCTTATTACCTCTTGCAAAAATGAATTCCATGGACTGCTTGAGATGGTACCTTATAAAAGAGAGTCAAATGTAATCCCTTCACGATTTCCTGGGCGCATGCCGCAGAAGCACATTGACCTTGGGGTCCCTCTACCCCGCCCCACAGTCTCTGCCCCATCCAGCTGGCACTTAGGCCGCTTTGGAGAGAGGCAGACCTTGCCGCTGAGCAGTAATCACAGACCATACCTTGTCTTTCAGCTGTTGGCAGTGTCAAAAGAATTTATTTCAAATCTGCTTAAGACTGTGGTAAAACTCAGGTTTTCCAAAAGGCAATACACGAAGTTCAACCAACCCCCAAGGACCAGAAAACACAGTGTCTGCAATTCAAAAAATACAAACGCTTGGGATACCAATACAAAAATTAGAAAAAAGTTGCATACCTTCCCCCCACTTCCCTCTGTGTTTCCAGTGGAACGGGAACGCCGACAGGACCAAGAGCTGCCACCAAATGCCAACAGCTCCCAACAGAAAGTGGATGCGGTGGGGGAGGGATGGGGGGAGGGAGAAAGCGGGGCAAAGAAAGACAGGAAGATGGAGGTTCTGTCGACAGCCGAAACAAGGACACAAAGCTTTTTGTTACTCTTAAAATTCCTTTGCCAACGTTAAACACACATCTCTCATGCTTGATACAACAGCTTAGTGTGAAAGCAGCAATTCTACATCATGCATTTCACGTTTTCCGCTTTGCTCACTCTGCACTTCCTGTTGGTGCTGAGCAACCCCGGGGTCTGGGCCGTCGGGCCACCAGGTGAGGAGTTGGAAAGGCCCTCCCCAGGCTGCAGCCTCCCCCAGGAAGCATCTGACACGCTCCTGCGTCCACAGCCGCAAGCAGTCACTTTTCCACACCTGAAGCCTGTCTTGGACTCTCCTCGGAGGCTTCCTGAGGGCCTGGCCTGGGGACCAGCTCCCACCTTGCTGGCCCGAGAGTCCCCTGGGTCTCCCGGGACCCGGCCAGGCAGCCCCTGCCCTGTGGGAGCCACGCCCTTTGAGAGAAGGCAATGCCTCCTGCGGCTTAGAGATTTGCCTGGACTCTCAGCTCCCACCTCCTGACTCAAATCGGCATGGTTCATCGCGAAA